AGTCCTACATACACATTGTCTCATTTAATCCTCACGACCTTGTGTACTAGTAACAGACTGTGTACTCGGAATAGGGTCCCTTCTGCCCTCAGCTCTCCTCGGACAGGTCTCAGCTTAACTGTCCTCTCGTCGATGAGTCCTTCTCACCCACCCCGAGTTGCTGTCTTCACATCACACTGTCCCCTTTGCAGATTATATCCCAATTTGTAATTTTATCTTTTTTTCTTGTCCATTGCCTGTCTCTCCCCCGCTGTAATGTAAACTCCATGAGTGCATGGGACTTTCATGTCTGGCACAGCCCGTGTCTCCAGTGCCAGCCCAATGAGTGGCACACAGTAGGTGTTCAACAACTATCGGGTGAATGGGAGGCCAAATGGACCCACCTCAGCCCTAAGCATTATGCCATTTTGCAGATCCGGACACGAGACTTAAAGAGTCTAAGTAGCCTGCTCAGGCCTCTCGGCCCCTAATTGCAGAGTCGGATCGGAACCCAGGCCTGTCTGGTTCTGAGGCCCCTGAGTTTTACATTGCGTGGCCCTGCCTCCCAGGGAGGGTTTGGCTGGTGACAGAGGACTGGGCCGTGGCCTTGGGTGGGAGCAAGAGATGCAGTGATCAGAACAGAGAAAGACAAGGAGCTCCCACCCCGCGGGCGAAGGGTCAGACCCTCAGCTCCTTAAAGCCAGACCCGCTCTGTAATTAGCACACCCCAGACTCCCGGCAGAGATGCTGCCCCGCTGTCTGTGAGGGACGGCCCAGCACCTCCCCCAGCCCCTTCCGCCTTCCATTCCTGGGTCACTGCAAGTCCAGAAGCTCAGCGGGAACTGTGGCCGGAAGCGAGTGAGAGGATGGAGCCTGATGGGCTTTCGTGGAGGCTGGAAGCATCTCATCACACAGCCAGGTGTGGCGAAACCATAAAGATACTTCTAGTCTGTTGCATTGGGTTATATTACAAGGCCAGCTGGAGAGAGGGGATCTGGAAATCTGACAAGGGAGGAACAAAGCGCACGTGTGAACTCCCTCACCAGTGAGGACGTTAGACTTTACTCCTTTTTATCTTATTTACATCATGCCCAACGGACCCATATAAGAAAGACGAGATGAGAGGGAGGTGGAATCATGGCCCCCAAAGATGTCCACATTTTAATCCCCAGGAGCTGTGAATATGTTGCCTTACATGGAAGGGACTTTGTAGGTGTGATTAAGAATCTTGAGATGGGAGGTTAATCCCGTATTATGAGGGTGAGCCCAGTGTAACCACAGGGTCCTTCTAACAGGGAGGCAGGAGGTCAGAGAGAAGAGAAGATGCTGTGCTGCCAGCTTTGAAGATGGAGGGAGGGGCCATGTGCCAAGGACCGTGGGTAGACTCTAGAAGTTGGCATATGCTCCCAAACAGAGAACACAGATTCTCCTCCCTGGGCCTCCAGAAGGAAGCAGCCCCGCCGACACCCAGTGACACTTACCTGAGACTTCTGACCCACAGGAATGTGAGGTACACATTCATGTTGTTTAAGCCACTGTGTTCGTGATCTCTTACAGCAGCAATAGGACACAATGACAAGGTTGAAAGTAGACTACGAAGCAAATACCCTCAGTGGTACTCAACTGATTCAGGTGGTACCAAAAGCCACATCACATAGAAGGAAGTTGTCTCCTCTGCTCTCTTACAGCCTTCTGATTCCGTCGAGCAGGTATGGTCTTTTAACATCTGTACATCTGTTCTAACCCCCGTTCTTAATTAGGAGAATAGTCCTCAGGCTCAAAGCCTCCTGCAGACAACAGCTCATCATGCGCATTTAATAGCATTCTTGTTTGTAATCATATCTAGTTTTCAACTGTGTCACTTATGACAGCTGACACTGATTTTCAACTGCTAGTTTCCTTTTGAATAAATGTATTTATATAAAAAAGAGTTGGTTTAAAGAAAAATGTTCAGTGAAGAATAGTACAGGTTCTACACACCTACAAGCAAAGAGCACGGAGGTGGGATATGGACGAATAAAATGTAGGCAACATCAGCTCAGCCGTGGGTCCATGAGGAGCTGGCTTCCGATGGGACCTAGCAGGCATTTCCCATTCTGCTTGCCCACCCAGTGTCGGAACTCCTTCCTGTGTTGGGGAGGTCCCTTCCTTCCTCGTCTTTGTGGGTTGCAGATCTAGCCTCCCACTATAGAAACTGGAAATGCCTGCTCATCACTGCTAGCCTCCCTTGCAGCTAGGGCATGGTCATGTGACCCAGTCTTCACCAATCAGATGCACCATGCCAGGCTCCAAGATTGAAGGAGGAGGGATAGCACAGACGGAGCTATTTCCAGTGGAAATACTGGCTGTGTACGATGAAATTCCTGGCGCGAGCAGTACCATCTTGTGACGGCCGGTTTCCTTGCCCAACTGTGTCTGTGGCACAATCTGAGGCAATGGCGGTGGATTTAGCGGCATGCTTCCAAGTCTGTGTACCACCTCGTTTCCTTTTCATAAATTTATTTTCTGTTTAAATGAGCTGGAGTCACTGTCGCTTGCAACTCAGAACCCTGAGTAATACTAAATTTGGGTGCTACAAGCCACAGACTCTCTTATGTGGAATTGACCGAGTGGAGGTGTCAGAGCAGAGGGCTGCAAGGACCCCCATTCCAGGCTGGGAAGCGATGGCCCTGCATTGCTATGGCAAGAGGGCCTATGTGAGTCTACACCAAGCTTTAGCAAACTTTTCCTGTAAAGGGCCAGACAGTAAATGCTTTAGGCCTAATGGTCCGTATGGTCAACTACTCAACTCTGCCTTCGAAAGGAGCAACCATATGTGAATTAGTGGATGTGGCTGTGTGCCAATAAAACGTTGATTACAAAATCAGGTGGTGGGTTGCATTTGGCCCATGGGCCACAGTTTAACCCTGATTTAACCTGTCACCTATTTCACACCAACCACGTATCTGTGGATGTTGTAATCTCAGGAAAAGTTGTGGAAACACATCGGAATGTTGTCATGTGCAGCTCCTTAGAGCCTAAAGTAAGCTCCTACAAGAAAAAGTCAACCTTGGGCCAAAGGTGGTCCATCTAGTGGCAAAAATAGAAAATATGGCCACCGAGATTCTCTCATCCTGAGGACTGCAATCTAAATTGGTGGAGAATCCAATGATCTGGAGATTTGCAGAGATGGGCAAGTCAAATTCTAAACCAGGGCCAGACAGTAAATATTTTAGGTGTTACAGGCCATATAAGGTCTTTGTTGCATCCTTCTTTGCATTTTTTACAACTCTTTAAAAATGCAAAACATTCTTAGCTCTTGGGCCATAAAAAAGCAGCCCTCGGCCAGTGAACAAGGCTTTGCTGAGCCATGCTCTGAACTAAGGATCAGTGGTTGGAGGCAAAGAGCTGAGCAGAGGAGATGTATGGGATTCAGGAAAACACATGCCTGTTCCTCTAGCCTTCACCAGACAAGGGACAAGCCCAAGGATATTGCTTGGATTACGAGAGCCTGAAGCTATTGCCTCAAGAGACAGGGGCACGGGGCTAGGAGACAGGAACTCCCAGCTCAGAGATCAGGTCCACTTCATCAAAGACCGTAAAGCAGAACCAGCCAGCTATGCCACTACTGGATCCCTGTCAAATCTGTGTGACAATAATTTTTTTTTTTTTAAGATCCAGATGAGATCTCTAGCTGGCTTGGCCTTGCATGGCCAAAGGAACCGAGAGCAGCCTGGGACTATCGAACCCTGTGAGGTACTTCTGAGACCCTAGGCCTCATGCCCACAGGAGGGAGCAAAGGGCCTCCTCCCCACTACCCATCTTAGACATGCCCTTGGAGGACCGTGGACTAGGAAGATCGTCCCCTGGAGTGGAACCAAGGGCCGTGCGTTGACCACCCACTGATCTCACTCCCCACCATGGAAAGTTCTTGATATTCATGACTGACCATGAAACTTCGGCCACTGAGCATGAATTCTCATTCTGCTCATCCATTTCCCAACGGGGATCATTCATTGTAGGCATCCTGTTCCTTTCCTCCATTACACATTGCATACGTTTGGCAGTGCATGACAACTTTTAGTCATAGGTTGCTGGGGCCAGGAGGAGCTACACTTGGATAATAATACGTCCCCAAGAGACCCTGGTGTGGGAGCTGGAAGTGTAACTGGTCGTGACTTTGGGGTGTGTCCCTCTGGGAGGGGTCAGTTCATTTCATGAATGTACACGATTCATACATGGATGTTAGGCAACAAGGGGATGGACTGTAGCAGACACGGTTGGCCGCCTCCCTAACGTCCATCTCCTCTTCTCCTTTCTAAATGTGGTTAGAAGTCTATCCCTCACGGAAGGCAGCACCCTCAGCTCGGAGGTCAACGCTAAGTGTGGTAACTTAATTACCTCAGCCAGTGATTGAGTTCAGCGTGGAAATTGGAATCCTCAGGTCAATGACATCAGGAGGAGTTTACTAAAGGGCTTCTGAGAAAGCTCTTCTTGTTTCTGAAAAAAGACCCAGAAAATGATAGCTCCCTTTGTACTTGATTAGACTAAGGGACGGTGCAGGGGGTGGGGGCGGGTGCCGGCCCCGTGGCCGAGTGGTTAAGTTTGCGTGCTCCGCTTCGGAGGCCCAGGGTTTCACTGGTTCGAATCCTGGGTGCGGACATGGCACCGCTCATCAAGCCATGCTAAGGCGGCATCCCACATGCCACAACTAGAAGAACCCACAACTAAACATACACAACTATGTCCCAGGGGGGCTTTGGGGACAAAAAGGAAAAATATAATCTAAAATAGACTAAGGGATAGCAAACCTTTTTTGTAATGGGCCAGATAGCATTCACAGGCCATGCAAGTTCTGTAGCAACTCTGCCGTTGTCATGTGAAGACAGTCGTACACAATATCTAAACAAATGAGTATGACTGTGTTCCCAGAAAGCCTCGTTTATGGACACTGAAATTTGAATTTCATGTAATTTTCACGTGACACCAAGCATTATTCTTTTTTTCACTTTTTTTGGAAATTGGGACTAAAATAGTCTAGATGAGGGCAGGGACTAAGTTTATTGTGATGTACCTGACACCCAGCACAATGCTTACGCCATAATTTGTACATGAATATTTGGTGAATAAACATTTACAATATCCTCATGATGAATTGGCTCCTTTATCATGATAAATATTTATGTACCCAATATCGGAGCCCCTAAATATATAAAGCAAATATTCACAGATACGAAGGTAGAAATAGCCAGCAATGCAATAACAGTAAGACTACCACACTCCACTCTCAACAATGGACGGACCATCCAGACAGAAAATCACTACGAAAACACAGAACTTGAACTGTGCTTTAGATCAAATGGACCTGACAGATACAGAACATTCCAGCCAACAGCAAGAGAATACATATTCTTTTCGAGCACACACACAACATTCTCCAGGATAAATCATATTCGGTGAGTGACTGACTGAACGAGAGGTGAATTTCCTGAATGGAAGAAATATAAAACTGAGGGCTCCGGGGTCACACCATCCACCTGCCGCATGGACGAAACACAAAAAAAACCTAGAGACACAAAGAATATGGACGGCAGCCCCTGGAGGTTTGAGTTTGCAACCCCTGTATGGAAAGAAGGAACTGTGTGTTCCCCAGATGGATAGCTTTTACTACTTTTGGCATTCCTTACGTAGAAATGAAAAATCTCTGTCTCATTCTGGCTGAATTTTTTTTTAGTGGTGTGCTGTAAAGATAGCCTTATTTCCACCATCACCCCAAACTTTAAAGGAAGTCTTTATTAAACCAAACAGAAGAACAAGCCCAGCTACATAATTTGCAGGGACCATTGCAAAATGAAAACGTGGGCTGTTTGTTCGAATAGCATTAAGGATTTTAAGACGGTGCTGGCAGATCATTAACCAAGCGTGGGGCCCTTGGCAACCGCAGGTCATTCACCCAGGAAGCCGGCCCCTTTAAAGAAGCAGAAGGAGCTGGGGACTGTCCCATGAATTACGAGAGCTCAACGGCTCCCTGGAAAAATGGCCCATTGTCACCTTGATGAGAAATCACGTGACCCACTGCCACTCAAAATAGTAGCATTTTACCCTAGATGATGGGAACATTAGAGTCTGTCGCTCCGGGCAATTTGGTTTTAAACTTTATTTTTCATGTACAGTCTCAGATTATACAAAACATAGAAAATGGACTATTTTAAAGACACATCAAGTAGAAAGCCTCTAACTCCCCTAACATCACCTTTGTCCCCAAACCAAGATTCAAACTTAACCTCTCGGCCTTCCCCAAGCGTCTCCCATCACCACTGCCCCCCAGTACACAAAACTGTCCAATTTGCTGTATTTATTGTAAGTAACGGTTCAACTATTAGCAAGTTTAGTCATTCCCCATCCAGGCAGATTTGAAACGATGCTTCTATCTAAGCTTCTGTGTTTAGTGTGTTTACATACAGGCTTGGGGGTCTGGGTTTCTTCATCATCAATTAATACAGAGCATCCTGGGACCGCAGCCTGTCGATTACATGCACACAGGCGCACAACCTGGAGCCGAGAGTGTGCGGGAGCGGGCAAGCGTCCGATTGTCCTGTGTTCGGGTATCAGTACACACATTCGCACAGAGCCACAAACCAAGCATTCTCCAAACTCATTGGAACAGAGACCCAAAGGAATTTTAATGCAAATGACAAAACGAGTTAGTCGGTCCTCCATCCACAGCCCCTCAATGCAAGAATTACAGTACTTTATAAAAATGTCCGAAAAGGCGCAAACTACGGTTCCTTCAAATACAGGTGTTACCAGTAAGATATTTGGTCCTGAGATGTGCTTCTTGGATGTCTCGGCTCATTTTCTTTGTTGTTGCTGCTCTTGAATAACTGACCATAAGCACCAAGCGAGCACTGCTTCTACCTACGGGTGAGGTCGGAACTTCTCTCCCTCACGCCATCACCTCTTCTCGCCTCCCAGCGCATGTCGCACGGCGGGGAAAAGGCAGCTCCCATTTCACAAAACCCTGGCCTCACAGATGGACATAGCCACTGAGTGCTACACAGCAGTGGCAACCAGCCAGGAAAACCCATGGGCTCATTCAGATACTCACATACTCCTGAAGCTTTTTGTGCAGGAAATTCATGCATTGCCTGGGGATTTTCCAGATTGCCCGCTCTAAGGGGCTTTGTTTGTTTCACTGTGGCTCCCAGGAAATTATAGAGAAGCCACCTGGGTAGAAACCTTGGGGGCACCTAGACCCACCTTCCTCCTTGAGGTAGCATCTCATAGCATCCTGCAAACCCCAGGGGTGTGACCCCCGCTCCTACCCACAACATGACGACTGACAGTTTTCCCTTGAGGCAGGAGGGGGCAGTTTGTCTTGTCACTGGCCCTGTGTCATCCTGCACTGTGTGGATGGCTTCTTCCTGGGGAATATGTCTAGATTTGCTTGCCCCTGTCTTCAGAGCCCCATACGGTGCCTGGACCATAGAAAGCATTTAACATTCTGCTCAAAATGAACAAACAATGAATGAATGAATGAATGAATGCATAGATGGAGAGAAAACCCAATCTTGCACTAAAGAGCTTTCCACGGTGGCCCTGAAACTACTCAGACCAGACCTCTCCCCAGCTCCACTAGAACAGGGCTGATGGCACATCATCGAGACACTTAGGTCAAGCGCAGCAGCACTTAAATGGCGCGAGTGCTGAGACAGGTGGACAGGCCCCAGCACACCTCCCCAGCAGCCCGCTCAAAATACCGGAGGGAAAAGACACTGGGGCACAAAGAGTTTCTCTCAAGGCACTTCCCGGAGTCCCCTGCCTTCCCACACACCTTACAGCGCTTTTTCGCCTAAAGACAAACTCTCTAAAGCCGTATTTCTCCGTATAGTCTCACAATTGCCGGAATGCGCATTCGCCCAGTCCCTGGCAAGGCAGAACCGCCCCCCACCACCAGACGGCATTTGTGCCACTAAAGTTTGAGAACCACGGCAATCTGGGGTCCCCCTCATGGCTTCACGTGCTGTCAGGACCCTGGGACCCTCCAAGGAAGTAAGTGTTCTCTGGCTGGAACAAAGACGGGTACGGCCCGATGAATGCCACCTGCGCAGGCTAAGTGGCGTGGTATTCAGGCCAATCTAAATGCCTCTAGGAGCCTTTAAAAGTCAGCAGGGGTAAAGCAGGCTCCCTCTCGCCCTGTGGGCCTCTCTTTCGAATCCTTGGTTGTGTTCTTTGCAATTTTGTTTGTAATTAGTTTTCCTAACTGGTTTTTAACCTATCTCCTCTATTAGACTATGAGTCCCATGCGGAGAGAGATGGTCTCGACAGGGTTGCCCCTGTGCCTGGCGCACAAGATTCCATAATCAATATTGATGACTGAATGAATGAATGAATGAATGGGGGATGAGTCCTCTGAGGCTCTGCAACGGGGATTAGCAGAGGTCAGCCAGCCATGAAGGCAGGGCAGGAAGAGAAGGGAGAGGCCTCTGTGTTAGAGTGGGGCTGTCCAGCCCTGCCCCCAGGGTGTCTGGCTATCGCCTGCCTGGCCTGGGACTGGAGCCTGGGTGGTCCAGATGGAAGCAGCTGTGGAAGACAGTGAAGAACCAAGAGCTGAGGGAGGCCAAGGTTAGGGGGGTCGAGACCCACCCGCCCACCTCGACATGAGATCTTTAACATTTCTGAGGCAGCTCTGCTCGTCCGGTCCTGGGACCGTGGTCTTCAATTTTAACACATCTAAGCATAACGGAGGAGCTTGTTAGAAATGCAGGTTCCCGGGCCCCGTCCCTGAAGACCCTGATTCTGGAGGCCTGGGGAGGGACCCTGAGAGTCTGCATTTTACAAGGCGTTCCGGGGATCACACATTGAGAGTAGGGGGAGCCTGACCTCCAGATCAATCATCACCTCCCCTAAGGCAGCAGGTGATGTTCTTGGGGAACCTGAGGGGCCCTCTCTGAACCCAGCCCGTTACAGGAGGGTTGGATACAGACAGAACACGGCGGGCGAGACCTGTTTCTCACGTGGAACGCGGCTAAACATCTGAGGCTTCATCCTTCACCAGGATCCCCTCACCCCCCCTTCCACCACCAACGCGGAGAGACTCAGGAAGGACGGCTGAAGGGAGCGGGGCTTGGTGTGGCCCAAACCTAGGGGAAGGCGTCCCCCGAGAGCTGGCTTTCTCGGTCTCTTGTCACATCATATCACATTACGTCCCTGTGGTTACGAAACATCTGGCGGAATAGCTTTGGATCTGAGCACTGCTGGATTTGGGGCTTTGTCGTGTTGAACTCTCGGACGGGCAGGAATTCTGAACTCCAGCCTTCACAGTCCATTCTGTGATCTCAAGAATGCCGAACGCTTCTCTTCTTTTGGCTTTTAAAGGAAACAATACGTTTGCTAGAAAAACCACGGGGAAAAAAAAATGATTATATACAAAACGGTTATCTGAGTGTGGATTCTGTACTGCAGCGACAGCGACCTGCCTCCTCGGGTTCTATTTGCGCTTCCTCAATATCAGGTACATGAGGCCGCTGACAAAGGTGAAGGCAAAGGCCACCCACGCCAGGATGAAGGAGTAGCCGTATGTGCCGTCCGAGATCAGCCGATAGAAATTTGGGTTCTCTTTGTGAAGGTCTTCACGCCGGTCTGTGTAGATGGCAGCTGCAATCATGACGCACAGGCCTGTCGGAAGACAGCAAGGATGCAAGTCAACCATGGACCGGTATGTCCGGAGCTGCGGACAAACATCAGCTTTTACTAGCAGTAGGTATTTATTTTATCTATTGGAAAGATTACAGCGAATATTTTGTGGCAGAATATTGCTGCCTGCCCTGTAGCCATTTTGCCTTCCTTTCTTGCCAGCTGAACCTAATTTTGTTTGGGCAGCCATCTACCCAGCCCAGAGGATAAGTCATAAAAGGTCTAAGCCATGGGTCAGCCGGACAGTTAACAGTTAAGGTTTTGCGAGCCCCATACAGTCTCTGTCACAACTACACAACTCTGCCGTTGTAGCATGAAAGCAGCCGCCGACAAGACACTAATGAGTGGGTGGGGCTGTGATGCAGTAAAATTTTATATACTAAAACAGGCAGTGGGCCAGATTTGGCCTCTGGGCCATAGTCTGCCAGCTTCCCTTGGCAATCCTATTCCTGTTTACTTGTTATAGTTTATGGATCTGTATGTGTCCCAGTTCTGGCCACAGAAAATCCTTCAGTGAAAAATATTACTCCCTGAAAAGAGAGAGATGAAGGAGGAGAAAGCATTTTTTTTGTTGCTGTACTTTCCCTTGCTTACTGCTTTAAAGACTGTTAGGTCAGGATGAATGTCTGGAGCTGCGGCAGCCTTTTTGGGGCCACGAGGAGGTCATCACTGACACTCTGAAGATGATAGTGTAGAAGGATAAAAAAAAGTACAGGTCTTGATGATGCCAATGAGCTGCCAAACCAACTCTGGCACCTTCCACTTCTAGGGTATTAGCTATGTAAAAAAAAAGTAAAGGTCTTTGTGGGGTGAAATCACTGTTAATTGGATTTTCTCTTACTTGCAGCCAAAAGCATCCTAAGTGAATCACCTGGAGTCCCAACATTCATAGACATTAGTGGCCGGATGAGGCTAAGGACCCTGATTTTCCTTGGGGGACCTATTGTCTCTCCTGGCCAGGCGGTTTGGATGAGACTGTCCATCAGGATGCCTAGCCCTTCTCCGGCTGGGGGCTGAGCTCCTAAGACAATCTCAGCCGATCAGACACTCGCCCCTGGAGACTCGAATCTACAGCAAAGTCACACTGTCCAAGCTCCTCGATTCTGGTGGCATCTTCCTGACGAAACTGCCTGTCGGGTCCTGCTGCCTGGCTCCACTTTCCAAGATCTGGTTTTCAGCTTTTCCTTCAATTCTTACGAGCTACCACAGAATCCCATCTCTTACATACGTTACAGAGTATCTGTCGCTCACACCTGAAAATCCCTGGCTGACGTGGCATCGACACACTGCAGGCTTGGGGCAGACGGGCCAAAGGGGTTGCTGGGGAATTTTCCTACGTATATATATGAAGGTCATCAGTTTTGACTAACTGGCCGTACAGACAAATAGACAAATGGGGACAATGACAGAAAATAAACTTCGACTGGTAACTCCCCAAGTTCCCTGTCTGTATGCGAGTGACAGGATTCAGCTGCCTTTGATGGGAGAGCAGTGGGGTGTCTGTGCCTCTGACGGGGAGACACAGAGAAAGTACAGGAAGGGGCAGGGTCAACGTCCCTCACCACCTCGCTGGGGCCGTTGGGAAAGTTGGCACCACTTTTGGCCTCTCGGTCTGGGTCACCGCTCCCAAATGCATGGCTCATGGGAAGCACAAATTCCCAGGTCCTAAGCTGGCAGATTCTGGTTCAAAAGGTCAGGATGGGGCTTTGGGGGTTTGCACTTCAGAAAGGTCCCCAGAGGGATTGGATACAGTGGAAGGGGCTTCAAGTTTTTGTCATCAGAAAGCTTTGACTGTTTACTGAGAAACAATGACGAATGACCATGTTGTGGCATAAGGACTCTTCCTCCGATTTCAGCCTAAAATTCAAAAGGAGAAAAAAGTGCTCTGAGACATCTTTTTTCTCTAAGTTCCTCCAAGATTGCAGCCGGGTCCAGTTCATCTCTTATCTCCAGCAGCCCGCAGAGGCCTGGCCCAAAGTGGGCACTTCTGACACCAACCAGCCTAAAACCTGCTGATGGCTTCTCACCAGCTTCAGACGAAGACCTCCAAATGCTACAAGGCTTACAAGACCCCCAGCTCCCATCATGCTCCCCCATCTCTACGCTGCAGCCCCACTGACCATCTGTCAGTCTCTCCCATCACAAGGCTCCAGTCATGCTGTTCCCTCTGCCTGGCACACTGTTCCCTCCCCTCTGGACGAAGACAGCACATTCGAGACAGCAACTCCTACTCATTCTACATCCCAGCTCAGGCTCCACATCTTCAGAATGCCTCCCCGGACCCCTAACTAAACGTAAACCAAACTCCAAAATATAAAGTGTCCTGCCACGGCAGGGCAGCCGACTTCTTTCCAAATCCTCACCTGCCTCCACTCCTCCTGGCTTCTGGCGGGGAGGGAGCGCCTCCTCCAGGAAGCCCGCGGTGTTACTTACATGACATGAGCTGGATGATGGAGGTTAAGACGAATCTCTCTCCCTGCTTGAGGCGGAAGAGCTGCAGCACGAAGATGAGAAAGGCGACGCAGCAGAGAATGGTGGACAGGATCATGGTGGCCTGGACCGCCTGCAGCATGGAGTAACCTGTGGGGAAAGGGCAGGGGCGCACGACTGAGGACCGCGGACCGCCCGGGCCCGGGGCGCACCGGGACAGCGGCAGCTCCAGGGCGGGGATGACAGGAGGCAGATGGGCGGGGCGTCCGGTGAGCGCAGAGGGCAGCCAGGAGTCCTCCCGACACCCTCCCTCTAGCGTCCATTTGTGCCTTGATGGGACCACCCTCCATGTCCTCATCTGGTAAATGGAGCAAGAGCCACCTGCTCTGCCTCCTTTCTGGGCTGGGACACTGCTCCCGAATGTGTGGCTCATGGTTGGGGGGTTTTTAAAGTACAAACTCTCAGATTCCAGTTCAAGAGGACAGGATGGGATGGGTCGGGATGGGGGGCTGCATGTTAGAAAGATCTCCGGGTGCTTCTCGGGGACTTGGGGCTCTCGGGACTGAGTGGGCTGTGGACGACATAATACCCTCGAAGACAGCAAACCTGGATTGCTGCTTAGGAACAGGGGAAGGGAACTGTTTCAGATGAGCCTCAGAGAGGGGGCAGGAGAGATGGGGGGTGGGCAAGCTGGGGCTCGGTCCAGCGAAGGCTGAGCGGAGAAGGGAGCGGGTCGCGGGTGGAGGGTGCTGCGTGCGGGAGGACCCGGCTGGAGCTCCGCACCGCAGGCGCAAGGAAGGGTCAAGGGGCATGGACTGGAGCACCTGCATGGGCCTCAGTTTCCTCCCCCATAAACTGCGGATAGTAACAGCTCCCACCTCATCCGGTGGGGACAGTAGAGTGGATTCATCCATGGCAGGATTTCAGGGGGTGCCGGCGAAAGGGGAGTGCTGTGTGCGGGCCGAATGTTATCACTAGGACGCAGCTGAGGCAGGTGAGGGGACTGCCCCCAAAGCTGCAGAGGAAAATCCAAGGGCAAACCTTTTTTTTTTTTTTGCAATTTTGCAATTTTGCCTAAAACTTGCAATGATTAGTAACTATGTACTAAGTGTTTAGAGCGATGGATCTTGGTTCATTCTGGCTGCACATTAGCATCATCCAGAGAGCAGCTGACCCCCTGCCCCGTTCCTTATGGTGAGTAAAGAAGCCAGGCGGGCACACACACAAATACACACTGTGTGACCCCATTCGCGTGAAGTCCACAACAGGCGAAAAGAAACTCTAGCGACAGAAATCAGGACTGGCTGCCCCAGGGGCAGGGCGTGGTCCGAACCAAGTGGGAAGGGGCCCGAGGGAACTTTCTGGAGTGACAGGAATGTTCCGTCTTGCTTTGGTTGGTGCTCACATGGGCGTATGTGTAACTGTCAAAACTCCTAACACTGAGCCCTTAAGAAGTGTGCATTTCCCTGTTTGTAAATTAGAGTAAATTAAATAGGTCAGAAGCTCTGGTGTTGGGACAAGGCGTCGGGGGAGGGTGAAGTCCCCCAGGGGATTCCAACGTGGGGCCAAGGTTGTGACCCTCTTGCTTAGAGTAGCGCTTCCCAAATTTGCCCAATCTCAAGAATCATCCAGGGGCTTGTTAACAACAGAGACTCCTGGGCCTCTCTCCTTGAGATTCCGATACAGTTGTTCTGGGCCAGGCACCAGGAATCTGTATTTTTAGTAAGTACCCCAGGTGACGGGGCAAATACAGTCATGCGCCACATAATGATGTTTTGGACAATGATGGACTGCATATACAATGGTCGTCCCATAAGATGAGTACCATCGAGCCTAGGCGTGCAGTAGGCTACCCCACGTAGGTGTGTGTAAGTGTGCTCTGTGATATTCACACAACCATGAAATCAACTAACGACGAATTTCTCAGAACGTATCCCCATCGTTAAGCAGCGCATAACTGGATGGAAAACATGTCTGCTGTGGACTGAATGTGTCCCCAGGCCCCAAAATTCATATGTTGACATCCTAACCCCCAAGGTGGGGGTGCTTTTTGGAGGTGATTAGGTCATGAGGGTGGAGCCCTTGGGAACAGGATTAGCGCCCTTATGAAAGGCACATGACAGCTTGCTCTCGCCCGCCGCGCTCCACCACATGAGGACACAGCGAGAGCGCTGCCTGCAGACCAGGACGAGTCCTCACCAGGATCTGCAGGCACCCTGGGAGAAATAAATGTCAGCGGTTTAAGCCACCCAGTGCATGGCATTCTGTCACGGCCTTCCCTAGAGACAACGGCTTTAGGAGGAAGACGGATGCACGTTTTTAGAACAGGGTTTCGCATAGTTGGGGGGCGGGTGCGGACGTGCCACGGGTGCCCATGAGGCTGATGGAGGTGGAACCCATTGGGGCGCCGAACCAGAAAACCCGCCTCCTGAGAGGGAGGCTCAGTCTGCTCCTGTTTCAGGCCGTCTCAGGACCTGGAGGAGGAGTTCTCCACGGGGCGCTTCAGCACTTCTGCAACACCTGCTCACACCTGGGTTTGGGCTGTCGTTTTGTTTTTTAACAAGGAAAGAACCAGAAGTGGGCTTAGGGCCTTCAGGGGGCAAGTGCATCTGGTCAGAATTAATAACATCGTTCGGTTTTCAATGTATCATTTTTTTAAACTTTTCTTTCTTTTATGAGACAAGTGATATCAGTTTATCTTTTATGAAAGGGAGAGAAAGTTCCCCCGAAAATAAATTTACGTGAGGAAAAAGTGAACTGTTTTTAAGTAGGGTTGGAAGGTTTTTCTGTAAAGGCCACACAGGAAATATTTGAGGCTCGGTGGCCCTACAGTGCCTTATTGCATGTCTTCTTGGTGTTGGGTTCTGTGGTTTGTTTTTTTTTACAGCTCTTTATAAAGGTAAAAACCATTCTCAGCTCCTTGGACTAAATTTGGCTGGTAGCTTGCCGACCTCTGTCACTTTAAAGAAAAAGAACAGGTGAATGATCACACACAGAGGATGTGGGACGCAAACCATAGAGGCCTGGAAACATTGCCACCAGCACAGCGAGCTCACCAGCTTCCCACGCACATGGTGGCAGTTGGGGGTCGCTGGGCAGGGAGAATGGCTGTATCCAGGGTCATGGGGCACTGTGGCGGTCGAAGAGACCCGAGACGGGCAGTGGCACAGTTGCAGTATGGGGCAGAGAGCACAAATTTCAGAAGTAGTCACTGCTAGATCGGAATCCTGGCTCCATCATTTTCTCCTGGCTGTGTGACCTTGGGTTTCTGCTCTGTGCCTCAGTTTCCCCATCTTAAAACAGGCCACTGGTCCCTGTCTGATAGGGCTCTGAGATCACTTATGTAAAGGCCTCAGCCCACGACTTGCAGTAAACCTTCAGGAATCGATGCCTTCCATTGGTATTTTGCCGCTGTCATTACGAATGTTGAGGTTGTCACTGAGGGAATGGGGAGTCTTTGGACCCAGCGAGCAGGGTCCCTCGCTCCCCGACGTGGATTGCCAGATTCAGCAAACAAACAAAAACAAACACAAAAACGGGATGCCCGTTAAATGGGAACAGCAGATAAACCACAAATAACATTTTAGGATAAGTATGTCACGTCCTATTTGGGACACGCTTGCCCTAAGCGATGCGTGGTCTGTCTGAGACATCCAGTGGAAGCGGGCCTCTCGTATTTTATCAGGCTTCGGCTCCCACAGAGCCTCTGCCATCAGTTCCGCAACCGAAAACAACCACTCGATCCACAGCGAAGGAGAGCGGGCACCACGTTTTTAAGTGGGGTTTTCTGCACTGATAAAGCATTTTTGTGTACTTCAGCCCGTGCGCAGAGGCAGCACGGCGGGTCCGCCGCCTCCAGCTCCATTTTACGGCTGGGGATACTAAGACTCTGAGGGCTCAAACGACCCGCCCAAAGTGAGGTCACATAAAGGTCTGGCTCTTGGATTTCTGCCACAGCAGGCTGCCGAGATGCGGGATGTGACCCAAATATAAACTCTAGTCTCGGAACCTACTTAGAGGCAAGACTTGGACAAAAGAGGAACAGAGAGAAGATTCTAGAAGAGGGCTGAAGCTGAGAAAGGGTGAGGAAGGGAAACTCTGCTTGGCCAAGAAACAGAGAAGAGAAGGGTGGGGCCCAACTTTGGTGGGGTTGGTGCTCCCCCCGCCCCGGCTTCTGGCCTCTCCATACCCCTCCTGTCTCCAGCTTATGTGTCCCCTGCACCAGCACGCACCGGGCACTCAGCCAGGCCCGCCTCAGTGTGCTGGGAGTGAGGAGGGGTGAGGAATCAGAGAGTCGGGACGTCTTTCTCCCGAGCATCCTTTTCTCACTCAGTGCTTCTCAGCCAGCTTCACACTCACCCGTAAAGGTGTCATTGATTTCTGTACAATTCGTGTTGTTGATGCACACTCTCCAGATGTCTGCAAAGAACTCTTCTCCTACCCACCAGGCCTGGAGGACAAAACGGAAACACAGGGAAAGGCTGCGTGTTAACGATGAAAACGCTGACTCCTAATTAGGGCTGCGGCACGCAGTAAAGAAGTACTTGCGACGAGCGCTTCTCCATCGGCAGCGTGCACGCGCATCCCCTGGGGATTCGAGAGGTCTGGGGCGGGGCCTGGGATTCTGCATTCCCCTCAGGCCCCCAGGTGATGCCGAAGCTGCTGGTCTGCTGCAAGGAAAGAGAAGGTCCAGCCCTCACCGGGCGTGGGAGAGGAGATGAGGCTCCGTGGCGGCAACAAGAGCAGACGGTGGTAAGTTTCGCAAGAACTACAGGGGAATGTCAGGGGGCAGTGGAAGAGGATGAAATCTAGGGAAAAGGCGGTGTGGGTGAAATGATCAGATTTCAGGGCTTTTTTTGCCCCTAACGTCTGTCTATCCCTTTCTCCTGTCTTCCATCCAGATGCTTTCGTTTCTCTCTGCTTCTGCTGCTCTCTGCCCCGAGATGGCCCTCCTTCCGCTTTCCATCCACCCAAAGACTGGAATCTCCCCCACCCATCCATGCCAGCAACGAACGTTCGCTGAGCTCCCACTACGTGCCCAGCTACAGCGCCAAGCACAACTCCTAACTCACAATGAATACCACGACGCCCTGACTGGCAAAAACGCCCATCTGGGCCTTCTCAGTAAGTGCCACAGTCAAAGAAATACCCAGGGGTCCAACATGGGATCAACTGGACTGTGGCTGATGGCTTTTGTGTCCCTGATGTCTGTCTATCCCTTTCACTATGTCTGGGACCTTTTGAGAATCCCAAAGGATTCGATGCAAGAAATAGAAAAAGGAGATTTTAAAAGCACATTCAATACCATTTATTTCACAGAGCACGGGCCCTTTGGATAATGATTGGTCCAAATATTTAACCCACAGCATCAATGGGATCCCTGCCCTGGCCACTCACAGCAGCTCTTCGAGAACCTCCAGGAACCCAAACCCGACCACTGGACTCATCGCCCCTTACAGGTTCTAGGCTCGGAAGCCTCTGGAAGGGTTCCAATGCCAGCTCTGCCACTTGTTGCCGTGTAAACTCCAGTGGGCGTCCGACCTGCTCGGAGGGTCAGCGCCCTCGTCATAAAATAGTGGCAGGAGAGGACCCATCTCGCAGATGTGAGGGAGGATCCAATGAGGTGCTGCACATAAAGGGCCTTGCACAGGACCTGGCCAGGGTAAGCACTCTAGGCGACATGTGTCACGACGGCCTATTATCATTATGATGCCTCGTCAACAGGAGTCTACGTGTAGGCAGAACCGGTGGCCACATATAGGGTGCACTTTTTGGCTTTCTGGGCAGCGTTTCTGACTCTAAATGTCCCTGCAGTCTGCAATTATCAGGATTGAAGCCAGGGCTTCGGATCAGGGTACAGGGCATAGACGACCCCTAGTAAATAGCTTTAATTCCTGCTAGGATGGATATTAATCCATGCCAACAGGTCATTGACCAAACACATTCCCGCCACGTGGCTGTGAGCTGGATGCTAAAGGGTACTGGTGGAGGGGACGGCCAGATGGGCTAGCAACGGGGATCCTGTTGGCAAGGAGGTGTCGGAGCCAGGAGGGGCAGAGAGCACCTGGGGTGGGTCACCTGGGGGATCTAGAGCAATGATCCGCAACCAGTGGTGACTTTGCCCCTCCATGGGACACTTGGCAGTGTCTGAAGACATTTTTGGTGTCACAACTAGGGGTGGGAGTGCTGCTGGCATCCAGTGGGTGGAGACCAAGGATGCTGCTAAACATCCTACCGTGCACAGGATGGCTCCTGCAAGAGTGATCCAGCCCAAAATGACAACAGTGCCAAGGTTGAGGGACTGACCTGAGGAAGCCTGAATTTAAGCCGCATCCTGAAAGGGCTCCCAACACCCAAGACATTACGCCAGGCTCTGTGGGGGACTCAGAGATGAGAGGACCAAGGTCACTGCCCATCCAGACCTAAACATGGGATGCTCCGAACCCCCACACTTGGGCCAAGAGTCCTCAGGCCCGGGCTGAGACGGGCATGCCTTGGTAGGGAGGACCTCCCCAAATTATAATCACCCTGGGGGTTTCTCAATCCTGCTTCTATGGACTCTAGGATCCAGGGCTTCTGGGATGGCCCAAAGAAAAGGGAACTTACATTGTCGATGGTGGCGACGAAAAGCAACGCGGCAGAGGTGATGTGGAAGATGATGATGAAAGCCAGAAGCACCAACATTTTCACAGGGCACCGCGGGGCGAGGGATCGCGTTCAAAGCCCGGAGAGAGAGATGCGCTAAAGAGGGAGAGAGAGAAATTTAAACTTCTCAAAGACAAAGCAAAAGTAAAACGAAGAACAAGGAACTTTTAATGGGGTTTTAGAAAATCGAAAACAGCTCTTCTCATCTTCCCTCGCCTGGAGACTTTACCGGGCAAAGTCTGGCAGGAGGAACTGTTCCATGTTGCATCCAGACACCAACAATTCCTTGTGGAGGAGGAAGGGTGAGGACCAATGAAAATCCCTAATTCAGAAAAGCGTCACACCTCTTGGAAGCAGCACAGGGCGGGCACCAGGCCAGGAAGGAGTAGCTCTGTGTGAGCTACAATGCTACTCTCGATCCCCACCCCTCCAGGCGATGCCGTGGGAATTTCACGGAATCAGAGGATGCTCACCCTCCGAGCATTCATTATCACAGTCCCTGCTGCGTAACAAGGCAAACTGATCCCAGTACAAAAATGTCTCCTAATGATCTGACCATTTATAAAATTAATCCCCACTCAAACACCCCTCCCATTAATAAGCATCCCCATTCAAACACAATGTGTGGCAGACCATCACCAGTTCATTTTCCTCTCTCTGGGCATGGGAAGACTACATTTCCCAGCCTCCCTTGCTGTTAGTTTGCATCCTTGTGACTAATTCTGGCCAATGAGCTGTAAGCAAAGCTGGCGTGTATCATTTCCGGGCTGAAGAGCAGGTGTGAGTTCTCCATGCTCCCTCCCCTGGTGAAGTAGCTGGGATGGTCCAGCCATGATACATTGAAGCCTCACACTTTGGACAGATACTGTGATTTAGAAATAAGCTTTTGGATATTAAACCACTGAGATTTCAGAGTGAATTTTTCACTATGGCCGGAGAGTCTGAATAACATACAACAGGAAGTGACTGCAAAGTGAAATTGGAAATCTTGCACAAGAACTAGGGTTGTCCCAAGGTGATGAAAGTGGTACTGGATGAAAGTGATACTCCAAAGGCACCAAAGACATCAGTACATGAGAACTTGTCCTCTCTGATCATGCTCTGACCGTGCAGTCACTCATGGGACTCATTATTGGGGCTCATAGTACTGATCGAGGCCTCTGGATTCACACAGGGGCCACTCCTTGAGACTCAGGACTCACTAACCGCGAGCCCGGAGCTGTGTGGCTGCAGAGCTCAGCCTGGGTGGTCCCAGCTGTGATTCTGTGCATCGTCACTTGGAGGAACCCAATGAACCAGCTCAGAGATTCTTTCAATTCTTTTAAAAAGGACAAATCCCCCTTTGTTTAGGCCTGCGTCATTTTTAGCTGCCATCATACATACACTGCCTCCAAAGAGAAGTGTTTCAGACCCTTGGGGAAAAAAAGGCTCATGTACCACACAGAATGCCACATTACTTTACTATCAGCTGGAATGCCAAAAATGCCAATCTCATCAGGCGGGGTAAACATAAACTCCAGGTTTCACGTATTATCATATATGATAATGGCTTCAGATATTGTCCAGCTCAGATGACACAAATGCAAATGGACAGACAACTAAAACTTTCTAGAAAAGGAAAAAGAAACTCAGCCTTTCACAAAGTGTGGAACTCAAATGTTATAGGCGTGATTTTGGATGGTGCATTGATAGGGCATTAAATAACACCAAAGAAAGTCCTCTCTAATCCTTCTGAGTCCACCAAGGAAAAAGATCCAGGTTGTGCTAGCCTGTCTAACAGGTGCCAATTTTGTTTTATTGCGGTCATAATAGTTTATAACATTGTGAAATTTCAGTTGCCCATTATTATTTGTTGGTCACCATATAAATGTGCCCCTTCGCCCCTTGTGCCCACACCCTAATCCCTTCCCTTCTGGTAACCATTAAACTGTTCTCTTTGTCTGTATGTTACTTTATCTTTCAAATATGAGTGAAATCATACAGTGTTTGTCTTTCTCTGTCTGGCTTATTTCGCTTAATATAGTACCCTCAAGGTCCATCCATGTTGTTGCAAATGGGACAATTTTGTCTTTTTATGGCTGAGTAGTATTCCATTGTATATATCTACCACGTCTTCTTTATCCAATCATCAGTTGATGGACACTTGGGTTACTTCCACATCTTGCCTGTTGTAAATAATGCTGCAATGAACATAGGTGTGCATAAGTCTCTGAATTGTGGATTTCAAGTTCTTTAGATAAATACCGAGTAGTGGGATAGCTGGGTCATATGGTAGTTCTATTTTTAATTTTTTGAGGAATCTCCACACTGTTTTCCATGGTGGCTGCACCAGTTTGCATTCCCTCCAGTGGTGTATGAGGGTTCCTTTTTCTCCATACCCTTTCCAACATTTGTTATTTTTTGTCTTGGTGATAATAGCCATTCTAATGGGTGTAAGGTGATATCTTAGTGTGGATTTAATTTGCATTTCCCTGATGATTAGTGATGTTGAGCATCTTTTCATGTGCCTATTGGCCACCTGTATATCTTCTTTGGAAAAATGTCTGTTCATCTCCTCTGCCCATTTTTTGATCGGGTTGTTTGTTCTTTTGTTGTTGAGTTGTGTGAGTTCTCTACGTATTTCAGAGATTAACCCCTTGTCGGATATATGATTTGTAAATGTTTTCTCCCAGTTGGTGGGTTGTCTTTTCATTTTGTTCCCAGTTTCCTTTGCCTTGCAGAAGCTCTTTAGTCTGATGAAGTCTCACTTGTTTATTTTTTCTTTTATTTCCCTTGTCTGAGTAGACACGGTATTCGAAAAGATCCTTCTAAGCCTGACGTCAAAGAGTGTATTCCCTTTGTTTTTCTTTAGGAGTGTTATGGTATCAGGTCTTCCCTTCAAGTCTTTGATCCATTTGGAGTTAGTTTTTGTGTATGGTAAAAGATAATGGTTTACTTTCATCCTTTTTGCATGTGGCTGTCCAGTTCTCCCAACACCATTTGTTGAAGAGACTTTCCTTTCTCCATGGTATGTTCTTGGCTCCTTTGTTGAAGATCAGCTCTCTGTAGATGTGTGGTTTTGTTTCTGGGCTTTCAATTCTGTTCCATTGAACTGTGTGCCTGTTTTTGTACCAGTACCATGCTGTTTTGATTATTACAGCTTTGTAGTATATTATGAAGTCAGAGATTGTGATGCCTCCAGCTTCGCTCAGGATTGCTTTAGCTATTCGGGATCTTTTGTTGTCGCATATGAATTTTAGGATTCTTTGTTCTATTTCCATGAAGATGCCATTGGGATTCTGATTGGGATTGCACTGAATCTGTAGACTGCATTAGGTAGTATGGACATTTTAACTATATTTATTCTTCCAATCCATGTGCATGGGATATCTTTCCATTTCTTTATGTCATCATCGATTTCTTTCAAAGATACATTATTGTTTTCATTATATAGGTCTTTCACCTCCTTGGTTAAATTTATTCCTAGATATTTTACTCTTTTTGTTTCAATTGTAAATGGGATTGTATTCTTGACTTCTCTTTCTGTTAGTTCATTATTAGAGTATAGAAATGCAACTGATTTTTCTAAGTTTATTTTGTACCCTGCAACTTTGCTGTAGTTGTCGATTATTTCTAATAGTTTCTGATGGATTCTTTAGGGTTTTTTATATATAAAATCATGTCGTCTGCAAACAGTGGGAGTTTCACTTCTTCGCTGCCTAATTAGACTCCTTTTATTTCTTTTTCTTACCTAATTGCTCTGGCCAAAACCTCCAGTATTATGTTGAATAAGAGTGGCAAGTGGGCACCTTTATCTTGTTCCTGTTCTCAGAGGGATGGCTTTCAGTTTTTCCCCACTTAGTAGGATGTTGGCTGTGGATTTGTCATATATGGCCCTTATCCTGTTGAGGTACTGTGCTTCTATACCCATTTTATTAAGAGTTTTTATCATAAATGGATGTTGGATCTTGTCAAATGCTTTCTCTACATCTATTGAGATGATCATGTGGTTTTTACTCCTCATTTTGTTAATGTGGTGTATCACACTGACTGACTTGTGGATGTTGAACCATCCCTGTGTCCCTGGTAAAAATTCCACTTGATCATGGTGTATGATCTTTTTAATCTATTGCTGTATTCGGTTTGCTGATATTTTCTTCAGGATTTTTGCATCTATGTTCCTCAGCAATATTGGCCTGTAATTTTCCTTTTTGTGTTGTCCTTGTCTGGCTTTGGTATCAGGGTGATGTTGACCTCATAGAATGTGTTAGAAGGGTTCCATCTTCCTCAGTTCTTTGGAATAGTTTGAGAAGGATAGGTATTAAATCTTCTTTGAAGGTTTGGTAGAATTCTCCAGAGAAGCCATCTGGTCCTGGACTTTCATTTTGAGGGAGGTTTCTGATTATCATTTCAGTCTCTTTACTTGTGATTGGTCTATTCAGATTCTCTATTTCTTCTTGGTTCAGTTTTGGGAGGTTGTATGAGTCTAAGAATTTATCCATTTCTTCTAGATTATCCAATTTGTTAGCATATAGTTTTTCACGGTATTCCCTTATAATCCTTTGCATTTCTGTGGTATCCATTGTACTTTCTCCTCTTTCATTTCTAATTTTATTTATTTGAGCCTTCTCTCTTTTTTTCTTAGTGAGTCTGGCTAAGGGTTTGTCAGTTTTGTTTATCTTCTCAAAGAACCAGATCTTTGTTTCATTGATCCTTTCTACTGTCTTGTTGTTGTTTCAATTTCATTTATTTCTGCTCTAGTTTTTATTATTTCCCTCCTTCTGCTGACTTTGGGCTTTGTTTGTTCTTCTTTTTCTAATTCTGTTAGGTGCAGTTTAAGATTGCTTATTTGAGATTTTTCTTGTTTGTTAAGGTGGGCCTGTATTGCTATGAATTTCCCTCTTAGGACCACTTTTGCTGCATCCTGTATGAGTTGGTATGGTGTATTTTCATTCTTATCTGTCTCCAGATATTTTGTGATTCCTCCTTTAATTTCTTCAATGATCCATTGGTTGTTCAGTAGCATGCTGTTTAGTCTCCACATATTTGTCACTTTCCCAGCTTTTTCTTTGTAGTTGATTTCTAGTTTCATAGCAGTATGTTTGGAAAAGATGCTT